TGGGAACAAAGCTCCAATCTATTCGTGGGGAGCAGCACGTGCTGGGAACCGGGCAGGTTCGCACTACGCCCTCAAACTCGCAAAATCGCGGGCCCAGGCTCGCACTACGCCCTCAAACTCGCAAAATAGCGGGCGCAGGCTCGCACTACGCCCTCAAACTCGCAAAATCGCAAAATCAGCGGCCGCTCATTTCGTGATGTTGTGATTGAGGGCCTAGCGTGAGTATGCTACTCTTAGAGCATACTCGCACTACGCCCTCAAACTCGCAAAATCGCAAAATGAGGGGCCAGATTGAGTCCTTGTAAACCGAGGACTAGATATGGCCTCTCATTTTGGGATTGTGCGATTTTGAGAGCCTAGTGTGAGTATGCCCTTGGTATAGGACCCGTTAGGCAATACATACATGGGGATGATCAAATGGTCAGGTGCTGGCAGGCCTGTCATATGCCTAGTAGCCAGCCTCTACAACAACCTGGACTTAAATTAGAAAGAAAAAAAAAAAAAAGAATAGGGGGAGAACACGTGGGGTCTCCCCACTTACTATTGGCTGTACAGCGTCTCCCCACTTACTATCGGCTGTGCAGTGCTCCAACTCGTGAGTTCATTACCAGACGATGCCCACCCAGACTCCATGTACGCTCTCCAAATTCAGGTCCTCACCACGAGTTTATGAAAGGACTCCAAATTTGGGTCCTCACCGTGAGTTCCTTGAAGGACTCTCCACGTAACGGAGGACAGTGGTAATGCACCGCGGCATCTGACAACTATCTGTGTGACTGGGTACACCGGGTCGGGGAGAAATCCTTGCTGGGGGGGTTAAGTGCTCATCTTGGGGCTTAAGTTTCACCCCAGTCCACTTAGCTGTTTGGTTGAGTATTTGCCTCCCGCACGTTTGATTTTTGTGATCGACTCTTGAGATGCTTTCCTAGCATATGCATAGTGGACAGTAAGTGGAGCGGCCATAGACTATCGGATTTTGTATAGTGGATGGTAGTGGAGAGAGATTGTCGCACTTCTAAAAGAAAGAGAACTTATGTTATCTTGGGCCCTCATGCCCTTTCCCTGGCGGAAATTCTGCCCTAAACATGCCTAATAGTACATCCCCACACCTACACATGTCTACAATGGAGTTCCTCTCTGGAGCCCCCCGAGGAGGACCCCACTTGCCTACAGAACCACTTGCCACATAATCCCACATTTACTATCCGCTGCTCAGTTAACCCACCAACCTTCTGGGGTAGTTAATGCTGGCAGCATCATCTGAAATTCGGAGCTGACATAGGTTAGCATTTCTAGCATTTCTAGCATTCTGAGTACTTCAGATATTCATATATTATGGGACGCAAAAAGAAGTTGTATTCATGGGACGCTGGACCCGGTTTCCAGCAGGTGATGCTCCCCACCAATAGATGGAGCGGCCCACCAGGCAAAGCCTCAATTCCAGTGGTTCTCCTACCACCGCTGGGATAGAGGCCTTGCACAAGGGCCTTTCAAAA